ATGCTCTCTTTGCATGTGCTGGGCAAAGTTCGAAAAATCTTCGCGGCGGTCAGACCATGACATGGCGTAGGGATATGAAGAAGTTAGCCTCAGCATTGGCTTCGGTTGGTGCAGCTCGCCTTCCAAACTGGGGCTCAAGGGATGAGAATGGCCAATGGCTAGAGACCCAGGGGGATATGGCTCAGAATAGATGTCAGTGGTGCTATTTGTTTGGCAAAACCCTGTTCCCCATAACACAAGAAGTCTTCAGAAATTGTACGGTGAAACTATAAAAATATCATTCATTCGTTCTGCATGTTCTCTGTTTTATCCATTTTCATTTACTCTTTCTGTAGCCCTCCAAAACGTCATTATCATTGTTTCGCATTGGCACCATCTTTTTTCTCAAGCCGGTGTAATATATATATATATATATATATATAGCTGTAAGCTACCGTTAGCGTGGCTCAGTACATTATTATAGATCCTATTGGATCACCTGCGTTTAGTCTGATCACGCACTAGTTCTGAAGCACTTCCCGCTTCGACTCATCGATCGCTGGAAAGAATCACCGATTCAGTTAGCTCATGATTGTCTACGTGAGTCAGCTGTTTGCACTTTTTATGAGAAGCTTAGACAGGAGTTAGGAGCATCGTGACGAGGTGGGATAGGTCAGAAGTGGAATCAAATTGTATGTTAATTGCATTCGGCAGCAAACAGTGCTTGTCGGACTGAGCCCGAAGTTCGTCGAAGACATTGGGGTTCTGAGAAGTCAGGAATCTTGATGGAACAAAAGTGAAAGGTCCCATTCTGCCAGGATGAGCATAGGAACCAGTGATGTCTGCAACGTCATGAAGAACCTTAAGAAAGATAGCGAAAACTAGTGAGTTAAGATACTTCGTGAAGTGAAAGTAGTGTGTACATCAGGGAATAGTCAACAAATGTTTTACTTGATACGCAGCACCGGAGGTCGTTGCATACCGGTTAGCGAAACTACTTGCGATAAGTGGTTTGAGCATTCACACTAAGAAACGGATTGATCGCCACGTGGCGTATTTTAGTGAGAAGTTCAACCGGTTATTCTGGCCATTGCAGCAGAAACTCCTTGAGCGGCGTTGTAATATTCACTTAACTGGAATGTTTGTCATGCATGCCTGTAGCTGGGTCGATTGATTGACTGATGATGCCTGCTATAGCATGCATCATTTGAGCCTACTGGACGATGAGATCAATTCGTCTCAGCGAATCAAATGCCAGTCTTGAACCGTTTGTGCTCGTTGATTCGTTAGCGGCTTGCCTACCCTACTTGATTACACGCTGATTGTATGTAACTTACGTGCTTGCATATACCTTCTGTATTTTTTTGGGGGGAGGGGGTCACCTGTGCTTTGACACCCTACATGCTCATCGGCTACGTATATGTGTACACATTGCAAATAGACGATCCGATCAATTTACCATGTGCTTATTTATCGATGCAAACCGAACATGGCAGGCGGTAACACATGAGCCCCCCCACAGAAAGAGAAGT